GAGGGAGGGAGGGAGGGAGTGCTCTCAGCTGCAGGGGAGGGGGGGGGAAGCGGAGGAGGAGATCTCTCTGGCTGTCGGAGCCCCATGTAAGTGGCATCATCCAGCCGGCTGCCCTGTCATCTGCGCGTGCTCTGCATGGGTGGGGGGGAACTCCGGACATTTACAGATTCCCCCCGGATGCTATTTTTAACTCAAAAAAGCCGGACATGTCCGGGGGAATCTGGACGAATGGTAACCCTACCTGACAAGATTTCATACTACGTAAGAGATTTTTTCCTGGACTTTGCTTTATGGAGTCAATACTTGCTTATTCTGTTCACAGGAGTTTAAAAAATAACCTCTGAGTCCACACAAAAGGTATAATTCTGAATTTGGTCCAGAAACAGGGTTACCATTTGTATGCTTTTCCCACTGCAACTCTTACTACATTTTTAAACAGCTTTCTCCCATCCCCCGCAAAATGTAGCTAACAAAATGGTGCCAGTCATCACTATGTTAATTTATTTCTAAGTTATATCATTGTCCCAACCCTTTGGCTATAAATGTATCATTTAGGTTCTAAGTTCTCTGGGCAAGGAATTGTCTCTTCATTCAGCATTATCATTATTAATAAAATCTGGGTAATTATATTTATCTTCTTTTGTAAAGTGCTTTGAAATCTATTAATGAAAAGTGATATATAAGATCTAGGTATAATTATTTATTACAATGGCATCTAGAGGCCCCCATCATGGATTTGGGTCGTGTTGTGCTAAGTGCTGTACAAACACAGGACAAAAAGATGATTCCTGCCCCAAATTGCTTAGAATCTATGTATGAGATGAGAGACAACAGGGTGGATACAACAAGTAGATGGGAAGAGAGCAGAAGGCAACAACAGACAATACTGACAGTACATCAGCATGATAAGCGGATTAAGCCCCATTCTTAATTGGAGCTTTTGGGTGCTATTGTGATATAAAAGATTAATAATATCATTGACTCTTGCTGTGGCAGAGTTAATAATGGTCTGTTATGATGGACACTGCATTTTTCAGAGCTCCAATCTGTTTCCAGAAGGATCTTTAGACAGTAAAACAATCTCTGAATGGAAAGTGTTTGATGCTCTGGCAAGCATTTGAACATACTGAATATTTTTTACTCTCAAAATATGCTGTTCCTGCCTTATAGTCTGCTCCTTTTATGGGAAAGGTCAGGTGTAACTGCATTTGGCAGACTCTCATTTGCTCTGTTATGGGGTATGAAGAGCCCATTGTATCAGGGTTATTTGAAAGCTTGCTGTACTTATTGGTATGCTGAAGTGAAAAGTTGAGGTAACCTTCAGAATGGGGTGGGCAAAATTTTTGGCCCGAGGGCCACATCTGGGTATGGAAATTGTATGGCGGGCCATGAATGCTCATGAAATTGGGGGTTGGGATGCGGGAGGGGGTGAGGGCTTTGTGGTGGGTCCAGAAATGAGGAGTTCAGTGTGCGGGAAGGGGCTTTGGGCTGGGGCACAGGGTTGGGGTGAGAGGGGGAGTGAGGGTTCCAGCTCGGGGTGCAGGCTCTGGGGATGAGGGTTGGGGGTGCAGGAGGATGCTCCGGGCTGGGACCAAGGGGTTCGGAGGGCAGGAGGGGGATCAGGGCTGGGGAAGGGGGTTGGGGCGTGGGAGGGGGTCGGGGTGCAGGCTCCGGGCAGGGCAGAAGCAGCGGCATGTCCCCCCTCCGGCTCCTACATGGAGGCGCGTCCAAGCAAATCTGCATGCTGCCCCGTCCACAAGCGCTGCCCCTGCAGCTCCTATTGGCTGTGGTTCCCGGCCAATGGGAGCTGCGGGGGTGGTACTTGGGGCGGGGGCAGTGTGCAGAGCCCCTTGGCTGCCTCTACATGTAGGAGCTGGAGGTGGGACATGCTGCTGCTTCCAGGAGCTGCACTGAGCCACGGTACGCATGGAGCGGGGCAAGCCCCGGACGCTGCTCCCTGGCGGGTGCTCAAGGGCCAAACTAAAATGTCTGAAGGGCCAGATGCGGCTCCCGGGCCGTAGTTTGCCCACCCCTGCTTCAGAAGCTACTCCACTGTGGCTGGAAGTAAACACTGTTGTGTAAAGATAATTCCGAGATCTTCTATCATGCTTTTCATCAGTAGGTCTCAAAGTGCTTTACAAAGGAGCTCAGTATTATTATTGCCATTTTACAGATGAGGAAACTGAGTCACAAAGGGGAAGTGACTTGCCCAAGGTTACACCACAGACCAATGGCTGAGCTGCGAGTAGGACCCAGGTCTCCAGAGTTCCCGTAACACTCTTTTGATGTTACTGTGTAAAGGTATTCACTGTTGAAACCCTGGAGATAGGTTAACCACATGTGCTGGTTCTCAGTCAGGCCTGCTGGGGAATTCACAATGAGTTGCAGAGGGATTGCAAGCCTAAACCCCTGGTCTGGAGGGAGAGAGATGCAGGTCTCCACCTGAGAGAAGTGATGGCTTGGACCCTGAAACTTTAAATGGGTGCCCTCAAGAAATACCAGATGGGTGGGAGTCAAAGGTGCAGTTAACCCTGAAAGCTGTAACGGCACCTATGGGAAATTACGAGCTGATAATGAGAGAGAATGAATTGTCATCAGCTCCAGCTACCAACATCACCTATACTTAAAGTTGCCTGACACTTCTTATTGGCAGGGGAGTTACCCTGTTAGGAATGTGCCTTTTGCTGCCCCCATGAAAATTTACCCATATATGACCAAGTTACAAGCCTCTGAAAAATCTGTTTTTACGTGGTGAGCAGAGACTTGTTAAAGTTTGACAACTAAATACTCTGAAGATTCTGTTTGCACTGAGCATGCTTCTCCCTCCCTCACAGCTACTCCTGTATGCCAGCCGGACTGTGCATATGCCATTGCCACAGAGAGACTGGGCATGCTGCAACCCAGGGCTGCAGAGACTGAATCAGGCTTTCCCCGCAGTTTCTCCTCCTGGCTGCAGGGCACCAAATCTGAGTACAAGGAGACCATCTTTCCTGTGCTCTCAATGCTGTCCCTGCTGGTGTCCAGGCAGGAAGGAAGGAAGAGACTGAAGTGGTTGTATATAATGCAGAGAGGCAAGGAATGGAACCATGTTCTCTTGATTACTCACCCTCCATTTCCCTCCTACTATTTGCCACACTCACTAATTCTGTTTAGTTTTTAGTTAAAGTATAAGCTCTTAAGGGCAGGGAACCTGCCTTCTGACTTCTTCTAAACATGAATGGACTCTAAAATGGTTTAGCTTGGAAAGGAGGCAGCTTAGAGCAGGCTTGACCGAATCATTCAAAATGAGGACAGGCCTAATATAAACTTGATTCCATCCATTTTACCTGCCGGGTTTTAAAGAAAAGACAACACTTGCAGAAATTAGAGAACAGAATTAGAAAATAAAATACTTCCCCCCCTCCCCCCGCAGAGAACTGCATGTGTATGTGTGTTCTGTGTACAACAGTATGACTGTTTCTCTCATTGTTACCCAGCTAGGGCTGCCTTACAGAAGAGCTAAACTCACTCTGCCCCAGTTGACGCCACTGGGAGCTGAAGGTGCTTGGCATATGTGAAAATGTGACCACTATCTTGTTTTATATTTACCTTTAGTTGCCTTTGGGGATTCTCCTCCCCCCTTACAAGCTCTTTATAGTCAAAATTCATGACACCTCTTACTAAATGTCTGGGGGTGCTGACTACTGACTGTCTAGAAGCCACGCAGGCTACAGAATCCACTGTGTGGAGTTGTTCAGTGTTGTTTCTCATTTGTCCTTTAGGTCTGTCGGCAGCCAAGTTGCTGACTGAGTCAGGGCTGAGTGTTGTGGTGTTGGAAGCCCGTGACAGAGTTGGAGGAAGAACTTTCACTGCAAGGGTAATTATCCCCACAAATAGTATCTAAATTATTGCACTTATTTTTTGAGCAGAGCCTCCCGCATACTGAAGAACCCCACAGGAGGGTAGAATTCCAGGGTGGTGGCACGTAGGGAAGTCCTTGATGGTGCTGAACCAGGGGCAAGAAAAAGTATGGAGTGTCTGTGGCGACACAGAATTTTCCAGGATATTTGCAGGTTCTGGGGTTATCACACCTCCCCTCCCACCTGTTCCACATGGAAGGAAAAGATGATTATGTATGTAGCAAAAACTGCCCTTGGAGAGATGCTCTGGAGAAATGTCTCTAAAGAGAACCAATGCAGAGTTTTCACCTCTGTGGCTTCCTCTTGCAGGTTTTCTCTGGGGCAGGGGTGGTGGGGGTGGTGGTGGGGGCGGGAATCTGGCCTCAAATACTCAATTAACATAAATAGTTTCTCTGGATTACATTGTTTATCTCATGATTGATTGCAAAGGGCTTATCTTTCTTCTTTTGTCTTTTGGGAAACCAGAATAAGCAAGTCCAGTATGTGGACCTTGGAGGAGCATATGTGGGGCCGACACAAAATCGCATCCTGCGGTTGTCTAAGGAGCTAGGAATAGAGACGTATAAAGTGAATGAAGTAGAACATCTTATTCACCATGTCAAGGTAAGGTAGAATGCATCGCTAAAACACAGCGATGTAGATGAGTGTAGATTGTTGTTAGTTGCTTTTTTTTTATTTCTGTGGGGATGTCACCAATTTAGAAGTACTATCTCCTGTATTGCCTTTAAAAAAAAATTGGTAGCAAAGTACCATAAACATGTCCTGCTAATTAATCCATTTATGAAGTTTTAATGTAACAATTTGTGCTTACATATTGTGCCTTCAATTAAAAGATAAATGCATCAAACTCTAAGGTCAATGTTTCTGACAGTGATCACTGACTCTACGTGACTTTTCTTGGTGCACTGCTCGGGCTGCCTGGGGCCTGACTTTCAGAAGGGCTGGAAACTCACAACTGCAGCGGAAGTTAGCAGAAGCCGTGGATGCTCAGCACTCTGGAAAATCAGGCCCAAGGTGTCTCCAGTTGGGCACCGCTAAGGCAGTGGCTACTTTTGAAAAGTTTGAACTAAGAATTAAACTTTACAAGTCAAATATTAGGCCAATTTTACTGATGGGGGAACTAAAATACAGAGTAAGTAATGCTCTGATTTCACGTGGTGCCGAGTGCCCTGGGACTTGAGGGTGCTCAAAAGTTTGTGCAAACACGTCCCAAATGACTTGTCCAGGATCTGAAACAAGACATCTGTGTGGCAGATCGGGTAAAAGCCCAGATTTTCTGAGTCCTTGTTCTATGCTGTGACCCAAAAGAGCATCCTTCCACCTGTTAAACATGGAACAATGGTGCATCTTCCCAGAGGAGAGACTTTCCAAGTTTCGCAGCTGCTTCTGTGGAAATGAGCTTCAAATTTAATGTTACACACATGAGTAAAACACTATGAAAAGCTATTGTTATGTGGTCTTGTGACAGGGGAAACGTTTCAGCCAGTCAAGTTTCAGGATTTCTGATGCTTAATCAAAGTTTAAACAAAAATTCAAGGGACTTAAACAGCAACTGCAACAAAAGATCTGCACTCTCATAGATTTTTCTCATCTGTTTTTTCTGCTTGATTCTTATGAAAAATAAGCCTCTTCTCAAAGCCAATGATGCAGCTTTTTATGCTGGCATTGAACAGTTGTTACTACTGAACTAGCATACATGAGACCATAGGACAGAATGTACATAATGTATCTTTTATATTATAATAAGAATAAAATTGATGAGATATCAAATGCTGTCATGGGTTAAATATTTCTTTCTTTAAAAGTAAACGTTTTGATTTCACCCATGATTATTTTTTCCATTCACCTCTATATTTATCCAACAATGGGAGAATATTGTTATAATATTATTGTCACAGATCCACAGGGCAGGATCTGCCTCTGGTCTTTAAACAGTTTTTCGGGAAGTCTCTCGCTTGGTGATAAGCCCTGGGCTTCCACTTTTCTCAAGGAAGGGCCGTGATTCTGCTACTTTCAGATTGGGTTTGTGGCTTCAGCACCGCTGTGTCTCACTGTGGCTTTTTCAGCAGATCCAAAGTAGCTTGGAACCCCTTGGGAGACTTTTCTTCTTGGGAGGTATGCAACCAGCAGATGTTTTCGGTGACACAGGACAACCTTTTCAAAACAAGCCATTATTAATTAGAAAACAGGAGTATGGTATTTAGGCACGCTGGGTCAAGAAAGTAAATCAAAGCCAAAATGTATAACTCTCACCTGACTTGATCGTTGATCCTTGTTTAGTTAGGAGGGTCCCTCTTTGCCCTTGCAGCTAACCTCCCTCTGTTTCTGTGATTGCCAACCTGTCATCTTTTCACTGACACCCTGGGAAGTCCCTTGCAGCTCACCCAGACCCCCTCCTTTTTCTAAGGTCTTTGAGGTTTTCTAATGTTGTATTGTTCCCTTTGATTTCTCTGTTCTCAGCCTTGGCATAACAGCTGTGTTTCCGGGTTTGGCAGAGGAGTTGCCTTTTCAAAGCTTTGAACCTGGCTGTTGTGCTTGAATTTTTGCTGGGATGTTCCTTATTTAGACCATTGTTTTACATCTTCTGCTCAGTTTCTCTAACTCCTCTTGATCTAACTCCATAGTAAGTAACCCATCATAAACACACAGAGGCATGCATCATACTAATAAAAATAATACCATTTGTCACAGTGTATCATAAATAGAAACCTTAATTACAATTAAATAGGCTGGATCCTTTACGTGAGACAGAAAGCATATGCACTGGCTAGGAGCTTCTCTGGTGCAGCTAAATCTATTTCATAATCTTGGCTTCCTGCAACTGGATTTCTTGGTTCTTATTTATACAGTGCCTAAGTTACTCCTTTCAGATCTCTTGTCTTTTACCATACAACCTCCCAAAGCTTTTCCCCACATTATTCCAGAAGCAATGCAAGCATTGGAGGCCAGTCTAGTTGGTGACAAATGGAGAATATACTTCTCTGCACCCTGGAATCTAGGTGATGATATTACAATTTTTGACTGAAGTTCTATCCTGTAAGCTGAACCCCAAAAGTTCACAGTGTCCAAAAGTCTGTCAGTTCTAAGTGGGTTCAGATCCAAATACTAACCCAAACTTTGTAGTGAAGGCCAAATCTACTCAAATTCTGGAAGATGTGTCCCTTGGGAAATGGAAGGTATCTATTTTTTTCAATTCCCTTTCCAGTATTCTAGCAAGGGTCCCTGTGCATCTTTTAAAATCAGCTACTGCTTTTACATATACCCAAGAGCAAAATCAAGCCTTTTAAAGTCAATTTAATTCATTTCAGAGGCTTTTTAAATTTGAATAATGTATGGGTCTTCCTTTGTACTACAAAACGAAAAGACTGAGTCTTGTTTATCTCCGAGTGAGTCCCTCCTCATTAGGCTTTGCCATCTAGATTGACTTCTGTGTTTATTTTTCTTTAATCTTTTTTAAGTGCCCAGATCTACTGCAGGATTTTTTTCCTTCTTGCTTTTGCATTGCTTATGATACCTTCATAGAAGTTTGAAAATAATAATTCTTGCCCTGCATATTTTGTTTTGATGAAAAGTGACCTCTCTCTTTGCTAGTCTCCTAAAGGAGATTATATCGACATATTTGTTTTCCTTGCTGTTGTGTCAGCCTTACTGAGAAAAATATTCACAGCTCTGGGACTAGTGTTTGTTAGTTTAACTGCTGCAAAAAACCAGCAAAAGCAATGTGTACTTGTAGGCCAAAATTTTCAAACATGCATGCCTAATACATGCATGCCTAATACATGCTTTTTATTTAGCTGTTTAAATAACTGGATTTTCAATGGTTCTGAGCACATGCAGATCCCATTGACTTGAGCTGTGGGAGTTAAGCACTTCTTAAAATCAAACCATTTTTATTTAGGATCCTAAACATGGATTTAAGAAAATGTTGTCCAGAGGTTTTATTTGCCTTACCAAAATGTTGGCTGTTGTGTTCTACAGGTGGTCAAATGTTGGATTTAAAAAAAAAACAGAAAAAATAGTTATAATCTAGATAATATTTGCCACCTGATTACATCACTGTTAATTTATATCAAATATGGGACCTAAACCATTTAAGTGTCCCTTTAAAGTAATGTAATTAAATATGGATGTGGGTTTACCATTTGTCAGGATCAAATTATCAACAGATCTGCCTATTTATTTAACTACACCTCTAGCCCGATATAACGTTGTCCTCGGGAGCCAGAAAATCTTACTGCATTATAGGTGAAACTGCATTATATCGAACTTGCTTTGATCCACGGGAGTGCGCAGCCCCGCCCCCCGGAGTCGCTGCTTTACTGCGTTATATTCAAATTCGTGTTATATCGGGTTGCGTTATATTGGGGTAGAGGTGTATTATTGTATCTCAAACTTGGTCTAATCCCATTATCGATGCCCATATGATCATGAAGATTTGGTGTTTAAAACACAGTTCTGCAATTTTTATCGTGTACAAAATAGAAATTGATTTGTTAAGTGTAATGACTGGAATTAGGAGGCTTTGCTACATAAAATCCGTGTATAGAAGCGTTTTATGTGTTTGAAAGTAATGATCCTCCAACTTCGAATTTAAGAATGTGCTTCTTTCATATAGAAAGAGAACAGTCTACCCTTGCATCAATGCATCTTACTCCAGCTGCACTTGCTCATGTCTGTGGCCTTGTCTTTCCCATTCTCACCTGCAGAGAATTTCCTGATATACTCACCAGCATCACAACATTCCATTTACACCCGTGTTTCAGCAGCCTGACGGAGCTCACTTCTCTAAGTCCATCCATGAGACTGGGGTGGACTCACTAGTGCTATTTTTATGGTACATTTCTTCGTTATATTTCATACTCATGTTCCTTACCGCAATCAGAACTTTTCATAATATCATGTTTCTCATGTTGCCCCACACCTGGACATCATCAGTATAAGTGGAACAACACATCTATTCCTTTTAAACTTCCTACTGTCTTATTTTGGTGCACTGAAAATACCAAGCAGTAACCACTGAAAATGGTATCTGTCTATCTGTTCTGAAATATACTGTACCTGGAACTTTCCTCATGCAGTGACAATTGCCAAAATCCCACTGGATGTTTCCAAAACACTAAAGGCTGGACTGGCCATGTCCTATACAAGTTCATGGAAGGCCATCAATGCAACAAGGAGCATCCCCATCATAGGGTTGGGGCAGATTCTTAACAGCAAGTACAGTAAGACTGAGCCAGCAGTAACACTGGTGTGCACAGCCTGGGAACTCCTAGGAGGAATTCCAGGTGAGCCAAATTGTCTGGCATGTCACTGAAATCACTTTCTGTTGATAGATGGTGAATATTTACTCTCGTCTACATAAAACCTTTCACTGAAACCACCAATCTGCATTAATGAGAATGCTCATCTGTATCTGTGTAGAAAATCTTTGCAGTCCTCCTGGGTGTGATTCATTTTTGATATTACCGTGGAACTGATGGTGTTATTAAAATGCAGTTTGCTGTGGTCTTGTTTATGAATTATAGATGTGATACCACTGTTGTACTGGGATTTAACTGGCAATGGGATAAGTGATTATTGTATCTCTAGGTATGTAGTTCAGT